AAAAGAGTGTGTGTGTGTGTGTGTGTGTGTATATATGTATATATATATATATATATATATATGCGGAGAGAGAGAGAGATAATGATTCAAAAACCCTTTAAATAATGCCTTTAAATAATTTACCTTTAAATTTAAATACCCGATGTGCTGAAAGCTTAACCATATATTTTTCAAGATCGGTCTGAACACCAATGATAAAAAGAAAAATAATAAAATGGCCACATTCTGACGAGTCTGCTGTAACATCCAGATACACGTGCAACTGCTCTGCTGTTTATTGATCATGTGATTTGAGGCTGTTAAGGGTCAGGGCAGCTAATTCTCTGAGACTGCGAGTGTGCGTGGGAGGAGTGGGGAGACCAGCCAATGGTTTTCGTTTAGTGGGGGAAGACTTGCTAATCTCCTTCACCTGCCCCGTGTTCTCATGTGGACAACGAATGAGTTTAATGGGTGGAAAAGTGTTCATTATGGCAGAGGCATCAACTAATGAGCGGTTACTGCTCACAAGTGTCATTAAGATCCAAAGACAGCATCTGATCTTTGAACTACACTGTAATCACAGCTTTTGTGTACAGCTTAGAGTGTCTGATAGCAGTGGTGTACGTGTTTGGCTCCTTCCTGTGATGTCCGGCACCTACTATTTTTGAGGAAAGAACAGTACTGGTTTGGTGCTTTGTGCACATTTTTTAAAACATTTGTAAAAACATTTTTTAAAGAGTTACAGTTTTAAACAAACAAACAATAAATAAATAAAACAAAATTGCAGTTGAACTTAAATGTAAAGAGGATTGTGATGTAAAATATATACCTTGAATGCAATGTAAGTCGCTATGGATAAAAGCTCTAAAATGCGTAAATGTAAATATGATACTTTTCTCTAAATTAACTGATTAACTCACCTAAATTAAACCAATTGATTATCGTGACAAACACTAACACTAACTAACACTAATTATTATAGTTAACCAAAACTAAAACCACAAAAAAAATTTATTTACATTTAATAAATCATTAGCTCATCCATGAACATGATTTCTACCCGAGTCCTCTCGGATTGCATCGGCTGTGGGGATGAAGACGACAACCCCCATGATTCCACACCAAAATAATAATAATTTGGATATTTTTTGTGGATATTTTTTTTTCATGCGTAGATTAAATAAATAAAATGATTAAACCCATTTTTTACTTAATTATTAATGATTCTATTTTTTTTTAAGTTGCATTCATACTCACTTGAATCAAGGCATCTTCCCTTCTTTCAGAGTTGTC